AAGTTTCTTTTTTACATGAACCTTCGAAGAAAAAAAGAAGTTGAGGAATCTATTAAAACAAACGAAGCTTTCACTCTTCATCGTGAAGGGTTGAAAAATTTGTTTTGGTAATGTGTAATTCGTTTCGAAAAGTCGAACTCTCTTTGAATTTAATAAGAGTTGCGGTGAAAACCCACGGATCTTTGTAACCCAGTTGAAATATATGTTCAAGTCCGCGATCAGTCAATGACGACCTCAAGAATGCGACTTCAGATTCCCGATGTGGTTAGTGCTCGTATGAGGACTTCAGTGCTTTCTGAGCTTCACGATGCTACTTAGATTTTTAACTTTAAATTTAAATTTAAACTCTATCGCTCCCAAAAACTCTATCGCTCCCAAAAAACCATAGACTAATAACGCTTCACTCCTAATGAGGTTGGCTAAACTGCCCTTTGCACTATCAAGAGAACCACATACACGCATCAACTTATTTACTACACTTTTATTAGCTGCCTAAGGCAGTTTGCTTTGAGTGACTTTGCCATTCTGCCATTGAAATCTAAAACTATTGAAGGAATAAAAAATTAAATTAGTTTCAACACACATTCCGAGCACCCACAAATGACCCTCTCCATATTTCCACGGCGTGACTGACTGATTGACTAACTGGCTTCCTGTCGACGCAGTTTCCTACACTCATCAGCTTCGCAACAACCTGCCTGACCAACTGACACGTGACAGTGAAAGGTACATCAACGTTATGTCGGTTTCGTGCGGGCACGCAGTCGGGTTCCAAAGAAAAGGCAAAAAGATGCCGAGACCAGAAGACAAGTCAACATTACACATTCATCACGTTTCCATAGATCAAATGTAATTCAAGATTTTGCTGTGATAGAAGTCGTAAATCTACACTGCCTTGGTTAGACGATGTGTGTGCGACGGGTGGAGGGAAGTTTTTGTCTTCCGTTTCGTTAGTAACAAATAAAATACATTTTACTTTTCTTCGGCACACACGAAAACAAAGGTAACTTACTCGCTAAGGTAGTATACTAGGCGACTAGAAGGGTATGCGAAGCGTACACAAATAAAAATTAAGGCAATATTTTAGTTGTGCAGCGGTTTCACAGGCTCTTAAATAACCAAGAGACTATGCATATAAATTAATGTGGGTAGGCAAATCAGGCACGTTTCCCATTACCTACAGCACAATCAATGCATACGAAGCTCGAATTGGCATTACGCTCTGTAAATCTCTAAGCAGTTGTGGACCTTTTTCTACGTGTCCTCTTTTCGACCAACTCTCATGTTTGGGGCTTCTTGGGACGCTTGAAATTGCTTAAATAAATCTAATTTAAAATTACCATTAAGGCTGGTAAGCTCTTGTTAATTTATAGACTTAAAATGTGGTCGCACAACTGTTGAGAAAGATATGATGAAATAAAAAAAGTTCAAAAAGCAAAAAGTGTACTAGTGGTTCCTCTTGGGACCTACCAAATAATATCATCTCGCGGATAACCGATTTTCAAGTGAATTACTCCAGTTTGGTTGCAGTGGTAGTATTCATGGTACAGAATATAGTAAAATCTCGGTTTGGATAAATGCGGATAATAACAATATTTGAATTGAACAATGACTGTTCGTGAATTGGTGAGAATAAAAATTAGTCGCATAATAGAGTATATACCATAGGTGGTATGCGGATAATGCACGGTATTGTAAGACAATAGAGTGTATAGATAAAGCAAGAATCGTCTAAAATGTGTATAGAAAAGTTTGGTATAAGAAAATATGGGATTAAAATTTATATATTGGGATTACTTAGAAAGATAATAAAATGTCGAAGTCAAGCTTTTAGTTCGCGCACCCTCAAATACGTAAAATTTTGGCAAAGAGCTGACGTTGGTAGTACTTGCCGTTGGATGACTATTTTTCAAGCGGATTAATTGAGTGTAGTGGACCACTACATTGAATATAATACTATTTATAATACTGTTTTAACCAAAAACTCAGTTTGGATAAATGCGGATAATAGCATATAAATTTTGGATACTATTAAGTGACTTAAATAATGATTTTTTATGGACTGGTTACAATTATATGGATTCGGATAGTAGTGGATTAGCTGGAATAACTTTGAATAATAAAAATTGACTTGAATAATGGTTTTCTGTGTACTAGCTATAATTATATTGATACGGATAAAAGTGGATAAGCTTGGATAACTCATCATATGATAATAAAGGATAACTGAATAAGTCTATGGAGCCACAGTGTGGATGAAAGAATAATATTGTAAAATACGGAAATTGAAATACACCATTACATAGGGATAAAAGCGGATAAATTTGGATATGTAAAACTTGCATTAATATAATATGTAATCAAGAATTTAAGTACTATTGTGGCGGATAATGATGATTTCATATACATATGTTTGGAAAATTAAACCGTTATTGGATACGGATAAGAATGTGAGTTATGGAAAAAGGAAGAATATTGTTGGGTTAAGCAAATTTGTATACAATAATAAGGAATAAGGACAAATAGAGATTTCATAAGGAGTATGACATTTTCATTGAAGGTGTGTTGATGATCAACAACGAAAAAAATAAGAACGAATGGGCAGGATAAAGTAGAGTAGAGACACTTCATAGCAGATTAAGAGCATTTTGAAACGGAATGAAATTAGATAGAAAACTAAGGTATTAAGGAAGTTCTTAATCTTAATTTAGTGTAAAGATAGACATGAAAAACGTATGACTTAGATATATTGATTTCCTACTGAAAAATGGAACAGGCTTTCCAAACTATCTTAAAACCCAGCCAAAAAGGTTAAAGGACTTCAAGTATAGTAGCTATACTGGTAATATGAGTACCACCACCCAAGGATGAACTGGAATTGCGAGCTGTTTTACCTATTTCAGTTGGGAAGGTCCTGTTTCTTTCGTCGACCACTTATGTCCTATGGGACTTCTAGGCTCCCAAATCCCGCGTCAATCAACCCATCGTTGTAATATTTACTAACACGAGTTTGAAATTTATATTTACCCTACTATAATGTAGGTTTCACTTTATTGCTTTGGTCTTGACGTTCAGATTCAGGGCATCTACAGTACGAAAGCAACATCCAAGCACCTTTGAAGTCTCCAATGTCAACTTTCTTGTCTTAATGTAATCTTATGTCTAAATATTTTCACATTTTCCCACACAAAGTACAAGTGGACCTGTTGCAAATCTGTTCCTTTTTAATTTCCTCTCAATCCTCACACATTCGTTGAGTTTGTTCTAAGAGTCAAACACAGCCAAACAAATAAACTTCTTTCAACAGAAGTGTCGCGCCCGCAACCATTAACCGTTCCACATGCCATTCCGCAGCACTTGATTTCATTTCAAAGCATTCCAATATATACTTTACATTCCATGCCTCGTGGCATGCCCACACACTGCTCATTGAGTCATTCATTCTCACTCGCTCGTTCGTTCGTTCTTTCATTCATTCATTCATTCATTCATTCAAGCATTGAATTGCACAACTCAAGATAGAATTGTATGGATTTCCAATTGAATGAATTGAAGTACCCGTTAGACGTTAGGGCGAGTCAAGTTCTATACCAAACACTCTCATATATCTATTTAGTCCACCCAGCCAACTTCATTTGGACGCCCACAGCTGTTGCAAGGTGTGGTTGCGGCAGCTGTTTCCCGTTGTTATTGTTGTTGACTGTCATTGTTATGTCGAATATTCAATATATTTGTTGAATTTGTAAAAAATCTTCAAAATCTTTTGGCATTTTCATTGAATGTGTGGCAGTTTGCCTCTTGGTTTGAGATTGTGTGGAGGCCTTCACTGCGTTCGTGTTCGTGTGTGTGTCTTACTTACGCACACAGATTGCGCTGAATTTGTACTTCTCGTTTCCTTGTATTTATTTACTGGATTCACCTATCTAGTGCTTTACTTAATTTAGCTAATTTGACTGTGGAAACTGTGATTTTGTTTGCGGCTGGAGCGTGTGTGCCACATTGATTACTTTGATCCTCAGAGTTTTCCAATATTTTGATAATATACTTTGTGTAATTTGAGGAGACTATTGATTTACATTCATACTTACAGATTTTCTGTCGTATTTGAAAGATTTTGTACCCCATTACTGCGTTACAGTTTCATATTGATACCTTAGTGCTCCTGAAGGCTGATATGCTGAGATGGACGACTTGGCCGTAGCACTTTGTAGATGCTTAGCACTTTGAATAGTGAAAGCTCGGTTTTCATTTAATTTTGCCTATTTTCGGGTTCGAAATGGCTTTCGGACATTGCTTTGTCAACTTAGATACTGCGAAAACCCAATTGACCGACCAAGCGACCATATCTCTTCTATAATTTTTCTTTATAATCTTTGAAGACTCTACCGTTACAAGCCTATTTTGACATTTTTCGCCTATTTCGAAGAAACAGAAACTTAAACGTTTGCCGGCATAAGATTATCAATTTCCTTAGGACTGAGGTAACCAGTTCGCAGTTACCGCACCTGATCTTTGTTAAGTTCAAATAGTATGCACGGAGGAGGATTAAATCATCTTCTTAGTTAAAGAACATCTCGAGACTTTGTCCGAATATCAGACATCTACAAAGTTGCACCTTTATGACGACATTACCTCTCAATAACTAATAATCTGAGCTGATTTCTTGATTGCCTGCGAAGTCCTCATACGGCGGATCATATTTATTAAGAAGTATTTAAGGACGAATATTCAGATCCTAGCACACATGAAGTTGCTGAGGCGATAGTGTGTTGTTGGTCGCTAGACTTTCTTTAAAGACTCATTTTAAGATATTTTCTTGATGATACTTATACACATATGTATAATTATGGAGTCCGGCCACTCGGATCATTCACTACACAATAAAAACCGATTTTATAAAATTAGAAAACTTATATTTAACACCACTCTTTTTTAATAATAACATTTCCTTAAAATATAATATTTTATACCATGCCCGACCATCTGTCCCTTCCCTCATATCATAATTGATTCTTTCGCTTACGTCCCGGTCGCACCGTTAACACACTATGCGGCAGCACGCCATCGATCGTCTTGCCTGCCTTACTCGCCGCCAGCAAACGACGCTCGTGCACCTTTCGATGCTTCGTCAGGTGATCGGAGCGCGCAAAACATTTCAAACAATAGCTGCATTTGTAGGGCTTCACACCGGAATGCGAACGCCGATGGCGCGCCAACTCATCGGAACGTGAAAACTTCCAGGTACAAGCAGGCCAATCGCAGGTGTAGGGCTTTTCGCCCATATGGCGACGCAGGTGGGCCTTAAGATGTGCAGGCTTCGCATAAATCTTATCACATGAGCCAAAAGTGCAAGGAAAACCAGCGGCAACGCGTTCATCTTGGCTGCTCGACTCATTGCTGCGCTTTGTAGTTCTCGTTTTGCGATGCAGTTTGAGATTTTTAGAGCTCTCGTGTAGAAAGTGATCGCAGGTGTCGGTGCAGAGTGGCGTTTTCTCGGGTAGAAAGTCGATAAGCTCGGGTATCTCGATATAGTTATCCAAGAATTTCTCCTCCCACTCAGCCATTTCGCGTGTAATAAAGGCAGCCGTCTCGAACTCCACCACAATTGTGGAATCTAAGCTAACGGGACTGCTTGGTGTGTTAGACATGCAGCTATTGTTGTGGTATTCCGTTTCACTGCAACTCTGTGTTGTTAACGTTTCGTAGTTTGTCCGCTCTGCAGTTGAATCACATGTTGTGTCGTGTATCAAGACATCAGATGGCGAGCAGAGCAACCGATCGAGCGTAAGCTGCAACTGTTGTTCGTTGTTTCCTTTGCTCTCTGCGTAGCCTGTGTACAAGGCTTGCTCCTTATGTGTATTATACGTAGTTGGCGCTTCGTTTTCATCCCAATCCACATGCAATTCCACGAGCGTTTTTTCACACGTCGTTGCGGCAAACACGTAAGGATCATCCGCGCAGCTGAGTCGCAGGCTATTGTCAGTAGACTGCTGCGCGCAGCAATTATAACTGTAAAACGGGGTACCACTTTCCATATCTGCGTCGGTATCCGTCCAGTTTCCATGCAGCTGCGTGTCATTTAAATCGCTAAACAGTTGCTGGAAGCCGCCAGCGGCAAAGAAATCCATTTTTGTAGTATAAAATTAATTTTTGTTCTATATTTTTTCTGTGAAATATTCGCGTTTGCACTTGTCACTTTGAGTGTTGCAATGTTAATGCCGTGTTTTCGCGCTACGTTGGTTGTTTTTAAATTATATTCTCTGTCTGAGATTCAATGCTGCTCCGAATGGCAGTACGAACTGAAAAATAAGATCAATCAGTTGGCGCATTTTTATCTACGCTCGATGGTCAATCAATATCACCAATGGCATAAATATAGATCGTAAGCGCAGTCGCAGTCTTGCAGTCACCCACAACCGGGTACAATGTAATAAAGTTGCCAGATTGTTTAATTTTCTTGATAATTTCATAAACTGATCAGGGTATATTAGGTATGGCACAATGTTTATAACACCAAAAAAAATCTCGGAGTACCTCAAAAAAGTATATACATATGTATATAAATGATCAGCGGTACGAGCTGAGTCGAGGAGCCACCTCACCCTCTGTATATATGCGAAAAAGTACCTCAGTTTGTGAGATATTGTTTTGCAATTTTGCACAAGTTCTTTTGCCTCTAAGCAGCTGCTGATTTGTTGGAAGCGTCGATATCGGACAACTATAGCATATAGCTGTCGTATAAACTGATCGATTAAACTGCAGTCCTTGTATGGAAAACGTTTTAGTTTCACGAGATATCTTCAAGAAATTTAAATTGGAATATTGCATATGATAAGCGTACAATCTTCGAAGAAATTGTTCCGATCGGATCACTGTAGCATAAAGCTGCCATACAAACTGAACGATCTGCAACAAGTGCTTATATGGAAAACTTTTTCATTTGACGAGATATCTTCATGAAATTTGGTGTGGACTATGGTCTCAAGCAGGGTTGCAATTTTCAAAGAAACTGTTCCAATCGAAGCACTATAGCATATAGCTGCCATACAAACTGAACGATCTGCAACAAGTGCTTATATGGAAAACTTTTTCATTTGACGAGATATCTTCACGAAATTTGTTGTCTGTTGTAGTCTGAGGTAACAATACAATCTCCGAAAGAATTGTTCACATCGAAGCAATATAACATATAGCTGCCATACCAACGGAACGATCAAAATGAAGTTAAAGAACTTTTTATATGCTTTTATGCTAAAAAAATGTACACATATAGAGTATAATAGCTTCGGTACAGTCGAAGTTAACGTTTTTTTCTAGTTTCACATTATTTTGTCAAATATCTGGCAGCGCTGTCAATCGCCCTATCACTGCTCCACAGAATATGAATATAATTTTTGGAGTTTTTATTTTCATTCTAAATTGACCATAAAATCATACTAAAACAGCAAAACATTATTAATATATTTTTCCAATCAATGCCAACAATATGCGTGCGCGCTTCTTGTTGTTGGCCTCATTACTGGCACTTCCCGCGTGTCGTTATGCATTTGGTTACCATTAATTTGTTTTGCTTACAAACTGTCAATTTTGACGAAACACTTCACTTCACAACATATAAACACACACACGACTGCCATCATCAGCAACAACAACAACCACAAGAATAAACCGTACGCGGTACCGCATTGTCGCCTGCTACAATATCCTTTGGGAATAATTAACACGTTCGACTTTGAACGCTATCACACCAACACTTGCATGTAGATATGCGTTGCTACGGCTCATTAAGAACATGAACGGCTCAGCGCGGCATTAGCATGCTCTTGCTTACCCCTTGCGCTGCTGCCGGCAGCTGCTTGCGCTCGCCTTGTGCTGTGATGCTGTCGCGCGCGTCTTATCGCTTTGAGTCTGGCTTTTGGGTACCAAGCGGTGACAGGCCACCAACATGTCAGCGCCGACATCAGCAGCCATAACAACAACTATGCGCGTACAAAATACAACCTTTGGCGTTATAAAAATAATAAAACAAAAAACAACAATGCCATTATTTAAAAATAAATTTTGTAGTCTTGTGTGTATTATATATCTCGCATTGCGTCTATCATAATACCTGGAACCTCAAACTTTGCCAGATGCGCTTTTTATTGGAATTTAAAGAGCATCGGCATTGTTTATCGGCATTTTTCGGCGAAATTATTGGTGACACGTCACATTGTTTACATATTTTTTGGCTTCGGAATATTTCAAAATGCTGATTTTGAGGTTTTTGATCTTTTGGGTTTGACCGTAAATCTTATATGTATGCATGTATTTATTGGTTTCCCCAAAACCATATGTTATAAAGGGCTTTTTCAGGCACTTGCGAGGTTTGTGACCACAGAATGTTAGATACTCTCGTTATGCGGAATTGTGGAAACAATTGAATGAGTTTTGGAAAGAGCTTTTGAGAACCATTGTCTGTAAGTGATATAATTCGACGCCTGTACCTTTACCTCAAAATGAAATCACTGTTTTAGAAGGTTTTGCTATGAAATAGAAATTACCATTTTACTCATAACATAGTAACATAGAAGAAAATAACGTACTTTTTTCAAAAAATTAACGCCTAACTGGAATTTCTAATGCTCCTTTACACCTTGTTGACATATTTGTAGCTAAAGTTTCGGCAGTAAATAGTACCATTATCTCACACACTTTGCGTGAAGTTACCATCCAAACAAAGCCATTAGCATTGAGCTAATAAAGTCGGTTTTTCGTAAAACTATATCCTTGAAGTTCTGTCAGCTTGTATTTCCTTCGATTCATACATAACTTTGGTTACAGCCTACTTCATGTTCAGAGAAGCTCGAGCAATTGCCCAAGTAATCATTCTTTACAGGAGCGCGCCAATCGTTCTTCCTCTACGCTGTTTGGCGTCAGTTGGAGTTTCCAAGTGTTGCCTGGTCCCTTCCACCAGGTCTTTTTAACGGAGTGGAGATTTTCCTCTTCCTCTGTCGTCTTGTATCTAGCATAGCTCATCGTTTCATCGACTGCGGTATTCGCCGTTGTCAATGCGCGACGGACCATAAATCTTCCGCAGAACCTTTCTCGCGAAAACGAAAGATGAGTGACTTGTAGAGTTTGAACATTGTTCGTCGAGAGAAGACTTAGCTTCTCCATTGTCTGCTCAGTCCGTTGTAGCACCTATTACCAATAATTATTCTGTATTTCGAGGCTGACGTTGTTGGTTCTCAGTTATCTTGTGTTACATGAATGGATGCGGCTCAAAAGTCACTGGCAGTTAGACTGAACTGAGATTTTTATAGTTTTGGGCAACATAAGAGAATCTCTCTCCGGCTCCTAAATTATTTTGGTCCTACAGTTTATAGATCACCTCTATTTTATTCGGGTCGGGTGTAGGCGCTTTTTCCACCGTTTTTTTTTTTTATTTGTTTTTTGAAAGACTGAAGCTTGAATATAGCGAATCAAGAGGCATAGCTTAAATTTCGGAAATGCTGAAAGCGTTTTATCGTTTTTGAGTGTCTTTATCATCAATACATACTTTAAGTTGTCACAACGGACCAGTCTTTTCAGCTACGCGAGATAGACCTCTGTTGGCTCATGTAAAAGATCGTTCTTTTAACTTAACCTACCTTCTTTTTAAAAGGATCTAGTTGAACTTCTTCAAATAAGTCTTCATGGACTCCAAAATATCATCCTACTTTATACTCAGATTTGGTGTTTACAATTATAGTCTGGACTTTATTCTAATTTAATATCAAATATGGAATATCGGTCATAAGCAGCTGACGATTGGAGAATTGAGGCTTTGCGCTGCGACTTGTGATCTATTCTGCCCAGCCCTATATCATATATGATCACAAAGTTCCAGCACCCTGAAAAATTCCAGGAACTTGCTTTTGCCAACTAAAGCCAGCTTTTGCAAATTGCTGTACAATCCAATAGTGTGGGACCACACGGTAATATGTGGTTCTGGTGTCATTTTCCTGGAAGCTGCCGGAATGCGGGCTCGTCGGCCAGCTCTTTGCATCCAGATTAGTTGTACATGGTTGCAATCTGATGGGTCTTCCGATAAACTCCTCCACTAAAAGTGATTTAACTTTATACGCTGGTATTGCCTTTAGTGCCACTTGACTATCGCTAAGTATAGCGATACGCTGGTTGCATTGGAGATTAATTTCTGTACAATGACTATAGAAGAGATTTAAACTTGAAAGATGCTTGGAAAACGTCCCATCAGTATGGATTTTTTGTATGCGGTCCAGCAATGCCTGCTCCAGTGCCCTCTGGTGTTTTCGAGCCGTCAGTATAATAGGGATAGTGCTGTTCCTCAGTAGTAGGTCGATCGTGGAATCGTTCCAAGCCGCCTTACTGCCGAGGGTAACCATGAATAGCGATAGTTGAAGACCTACAGAAGACTGCGTTGCTCTAGATGCCCAAACAACCGCTCCATAAGAGAAAATAGGCTTTACGATTATGGTATGCATCCTTCCTATGATACCTGGTTTGCAGCCCCATTACTGCCGCCTAAGCGTCTGCATATTATGAGTGCCTGGGTGGCTTTGGGCTGTGTTAAATCCACATACCCAGTCCAACGTAAGGTTCAGTCTAATGTGCGGCCTAGGAATTTGACCTCTTTATATACATTCAGTACAATGCCATGGACTGTTAGCGATCTCAAGCCCGAAAAAGAACTCTGCTTTGTAAAAGAAACAGCGATTGTTTGGAACGAGTTGATTTTTAACCCTACCGTATTGCACCATCCCTTTGCTAGACTTAAGCCCCGTTGAACTATATCGCTCCACTATGCCATTGTCATCGGCCATGAATCCAGGCTTGCTTTTTACGGCATAATTTTAAGGTGAAGTCTCTGCGAAGTATCCATAATCTCGTTTGATACTAGGAGAGTAGTTTTGCATTGCGTTTTTGGATCAGACGAATGTTTTTGATTTTTTACTCTTTTTAAAGCCGGAGGCTGTTGTCGTTGTTAAGACGTATATTATTAGTGAAATTCGGCATTACAAAACGTAAGCTCGCCACTTCCTCGGAACCACAGCTTCATGACCAACACTTAACGGTCTCATACGCTTTGAGTATCAAACTCACCAAAGTGATGTGCGAAATGCCTTCCTTAGCTTCTTTTGGCTGCTGAGCTCTGTC